CCCCCATACTCCATCATGCTCAGCATGTCCTCCCCCCCTCCCCCCACTGCTGCCACTCTGTCCAGCTGCCCCAAGGAGGGAAGCTTCAGAGCTGCTCCTGTCCACTCCAGCCAGACTCAGCCAGGCACAACAGCAGCAGCATGCAGGTCCCTCCTCCCTGCCCGGTCCCCCTGAAAGGCTGGGAACAGGCACAGAGCAAGGAAACCTGCCTGTACTGCTGCTACTGCCCCTGTCTCTAGCGGAGCCTAGCTCCACCTGCAAGAGTGGCTCGGAGTGGCTCTGGAGTCAACTTCCCCACCCCCAGGTCAACTGGGGACAGTGGCAGCAGTGGGCAGGGGAGGAAGGGGGGAAATGGGATGGGAGGGAATGTGCCCACTGAGGACAGAAGTGAAGGGAAGTGAGAGGGAAGTTCCTTACCTGCTTGAGGAACTTTTAAAAAATTATTTTAATGTCCCCAGTTGCTGCCCATGTGGCACTGTCTGCCTGCCCTGATGGGCCACCCTGCAGAGCTGGTTGCTGCTCCTGCATCACCACTTTTTGAAATCCTGGATCTTACCATGGAGAGGAAGGGGGGAGAAGCTTGTGATGCTTAATCTGTCTTTGTTTCAACGCAATAGATTTTTTCCTCCCCCGTTCAGCTGAGGTGCAGTCTGCCAGTAACACTAGTCATACTCAGTTAAATGGTGCTCAAAAATTCAATCCACTTACCCCAGCCAAGCACTCCCAAACCATCAATCATTGTAGTGTGTGAATCAGTGCCCACCACACTATCAGGATAATAGTACCCATTCTGATCAAACACCACTCTTGCCAAGTACTCTAAATTCACTTGGTGAATAATCCCTGAGCCTGGGGGAATAATCCTCATGTTGTGAAAAGCCTGGGAGCCCCACTGAAAAACAAAGAATAGAAACCCAAAATGTTGAATGCCCAAGAACAGTAAAAAGGTGTTAATTCATCCTTTTTGTACATGAAAACAAGATGTTTTCTTGTACCTTCAAGAACTCAAACCTCTCCTTGTTCCTTTCAAACTCCAGATCTTGATTCTTCTGTAAACTGTCTGTCCTGCAAACAGAAATAAAGATTATGAGGAGCTGCAGGTCTCCAACTGGATTTGGTGTGTGGTCCAGTGTGTGTGTTCACAAAAACAAAAGAGTCTTTCCATCTAACAATGTTGATCATATTCATACGTTCTAATCTCACTGCTGTAGTGAGCGTGAGGCAACTGATGAAAGGGGTTTAAGTCAGTTAACACCTAGAGGATGTTCCAAAATGTTAATGCTGTATCCAATGAAGGCATTAACTTGACTTAGGAAAGTCTACTCTGCATGTTAAAGCAAAGGAAAGTTTTTAAAATTTAAATTATAAGCAATCAGCACAACAGTGAAGAAAGCTGAAACATCATCATCCCATAATTATGGCTAAATACACATTATAATTGATTCAAAATGCATACTACAGTACTTTTGAAACACACAAGAAGTCCCTAAGCTTCTTCTAAAAGGTTCCAACTGAAGCTTTTTCCCTTGTTCTGAGAACCAACTTATACATTCCTGAATACTCCCAAAGAACTAAACAGTGCAGCTGGTCAACATTTTTAAATACTTTAAAAACAAACAAAAAACTCCATGAGCTTAAGACAAAAAACATTAACTTCTGGTGAAAAAGAAATTTCCAGTGAAAATAAAAAGATTTAACAAACCTACGAATTAGAAGCGATTCAGTTTTGATTTCCCCGGATAAAAAAAAAAATGAATATGCTATCCTTCTGTCACAAGAAAATAAGTCATTTTCAAAGGGTTTAATAATAATACACAAATTCAAATCAAAGGGGAAAAAAACAAAACAGGAATTAGAAGTAGATCTTTTTATTTATTTTAGTTTGATGCTTTTAAGAAATAAAAATGGTCTTTGCAAAATATACTTGTGCAGAGACTTGACTTACTTTATAAGCGATTAAAAAAAACATGATCTCATCTTGGAAATGTTCTTTATGTCAGAGAGTTTCCTTCTATTTTTGTCATTGTTTTTTTTTCATTTAGGTAGCCAGGGCCATGAGGTATTTCAGTGTGCTAGTTGAATATGCTTGCAAGTATCTATAGTATACTTATAGTATATAAGTATAAGCTTTTTGTTATAGAATTCGCTGAGGACAACCAATTCACAGTTTAACTTTATAGTCATAACAGATTGTGTGCTGGCAGCACTATTACCCACACCAGTGGCTTGAGTCCTCTTATTTCTCATTACACTAGGGCAAATACAACAAAGGTAAAATGAATTCAAGGCAGAAAGAAACTACTGAGAAGCATGAAAAAAAAGCTAAAAGACCAGCTAAGAGGACCTAGACTGTAGAGAAGCTTTTAAGGTCCCAAAAACTGTAGGTAGAGCCTTGTGTAGAGCTCCATTGATTCTGGAGAAGATCAGTGAAAGTGCAAACATTTGTCTCTATAGGGAGCTTATTGCAAGGTTGGAGATTATTGTAGGATCCCCTCTTCCTTCCTTCTATTGCCTCTTCCTTCCTTCCTTCCTTCCATTTTTTGTAGGGTCAGCAAGTTCTCCGTGTTTCTTCTCTATGGCAGCAATGAACTAACACCTCATTTTCAGTGCTGCACCATGCAGTCTACTACATTCTTGCATAAACAGGCTGAAATTGAGGCACCTTAGTTTATCATCTGTGTAAAACATAAGGGTATTAAGGGGTAAAGTGGGTGGTGGCAAGGAGTGTGACTTTCAAGCAATTATAGTTACCATGGAAAACTAGAAGAAAAAGTCACAGTATTTGACTGTGTCCTTTTAAAATTAACTTCAGCCCAGACCAAGACTTACTGAGAAAACTGCTGCAAAGAGGAACAGGGTGGGGAGTGGGGAACACACACACACACACACACACACCCCTATTAAGATAGTTTAAATTAATATGCAGGCTCCATAATGTCTTGGACAGACCCTCAGCTGGTGCAATTCATTTTCTCTCCACTAATTTCAATGGAGCAGTATTAGTGAACACCAGCTAGGCCTGGCTTCTTAGCAAGCACCAAAATAAGATCTGTTTCATTCCCTTACCTCCTGTTGAAGTCAACTTGGATGGAATGATCAATTACGAGGTCAGCAGGACAGATGGGATTGATTTTTTCAGGGTCTCCACCAAGCTTCTTCACAGCATCTCGCATTGCAGCAAAGTCAACCACTGCAGGTACACCGCTAAAATAAGACAAGATTGAACAAACTGAGCTAACTAATTTGACGCACACAGCTGAGAACCCAAAACACAAATGGGGGCATAGAACTAGTGTAGCAGAAAGAGCAGAGTTATAGTCAGGTTCACAAAAACTAGTTTTTGGATGCAGTGACAGGGAAAGGATGGTTGTGCAACGTAGGGAGCAGATGGGGAGTCAGGATAACTGGTCCTGCCCAGAATTCTGTGTGATCCTTCCTTCCCCCACTTTGTCTGTCTGGTCATCTTAGACCGGAAGGTATTGAGGACAGAGGCTGCCTCTTACTTGGTTTGCAAACAGTGACAAGCAGAAGAGAACTCTAATCTTGATCAGAACTTTAAAGTTCTAATGTACTGAAAACACTCAAACCTTTGCCCAAGCTGACCAAAAGAAAGTATCTTCAGACCTGTAAGCTGAATGGATGCAAACTAGCAGGAATGCGAGTACGGGACATCTCCTTGAGGATAAGTTGTTTTCTGGAGGACACAAAACTGTCTTGGGTGGCACTTAGGCCCACACTGAAAACAGGAAATAACAAGGCCTTGCATCCAACTGTGTCAAAGTCCTTGAATTTGGAGATTTAGAGGTAAAACTGGCCAACCACATGCCTCATGCTCCAAGAGCTTTCACTTGGCCAAAATTCACATTGAAAGTATCTCTTCATACCAACCCTGAAAACAGAAACACTCCAAGAAATGGAAGGGCAACAGGCGAAAAAAAAAAACTTCTTGTGGATTTGCATTTGCCTTTTATGAGAATACTGGAAGCCATTTTCTTACTGTTAATTAAAACTTCCCAGTCAAAGTGAATTAGATTAATTTTGCTGCATTTCACAAAACAGCAAATCAAGGATGAAGATGTCAAATATTTTTCCTTCAAAAGCCACACAGCTATTTAGAGTGAAACCATGAATAGAAAAGCAGAACTTATGATAAAGTTACAGTTATATGCTCCAACTGCATGAACTTTTTGTAACAGCAATCCAGGAGGAAAAGGAAGAGAGTGTTTTAGAGGCCCAAGTACAGTAAGGAAGGCCAAAAATGTGGACACTTACAATATTCTTAGCTTCAAAGCCTTTTAAAAGTCAGCCTAGGAAGCTTACTTATCAGAAAGCTAGCTTAGCTTACTAAAAGCAGCAGGAACAATGAAGGAAGTATAGATAAGCATTGTTACACCACACTTAATATTACTTTAGGCAAGTAACTGAATTGACATCTTATCTCATGCTATACTTATGGCAGAGGAAGCAATCAGTAATATGAGCTAGTAGAAGTATTGGTACATACAGAAAGAAAAAAGAAAAGGACACACGATGCTATTGTCAACACTTTTGGAGGTTGGAAATATGACTTCTTGTTACTCATCAGAAACTAAAATGTATCCAATTAGAAACTCCCAAAAAGTCTAACCCTGGACTTGCAATTTAATCCTGAGTCCTCAAGTTAGTCACCAAGTTTTTTTTTCAAGAGAGTTCAGCTCCTATTTAGACATCTACATAAAAGCAATTGTTTCAAAAGTAAGGACCCAATAGCTTCTGATGCAACAGTTCTAAGATATTTCAGAAGACCTCTGCACTCAGCTTGGTTGCTTCCCTAAATACCAGAATAGGAAAGCAGCTCTTCCAAAAATGTGGCTTAACCTTTCTGCCCTACAGGTTCTCCATTTGTGACAAGGTAACAATAGCACTTAGCTCACGAGGCAAGAATTAAATTAGGACCTCAAGATCATTTCCAATAGAAAAATGACAGTTTCCTTTATTGACTTCAAAAGACAGCCAAGACTGGGTCCTTAGTGCTTGCAAAATGATCTAGAGAATGCAAGCCAGTACAAATGCCAAGCATTAGACGCTGTACCTTCTCTCACACACCTACGGGTGAAGAACAGAATGTACTTGTGGTTTAGTAAGAAACCCATGAGGCTAAACCAAATTCTTTCCTATCATGAAGGGTTGAAAGATCAAAGGACACTGGACTATTGATTTAAGCACAGTACACAGCAACACAAAGTTCTATTTGAAAATCCATCCCTCTTACAAACTGCCCTTGGAAACCCAACCATACTGCAATGCAGTCAACTGATTTCTTTGTTCTGAATTTGTATTTTACAAGCAGATAGTAACATTTTTGCATTGGTTTCAAGCAACTGCCTTAGAAACATGTAAGTTCTAGGGCAATATTTACAAGTCAGTTCTCAAAGACAGAAATCTAGAATTGCCAACTATACCATCAAAATCGGTAGGACTCTTCTGAAATACATCTCATTTTGTCCCTCCATATTTTTAAATAGCATCATAAAGGTATTCATTTCCCTCAAAACACAGTGTTTTATCAAATGCTTTTAAAATGTCTAGTGTTTGTTTAAAGCAACACTATGAACCTAACATCCAGCAGTTTTAAGACAATATTTAAAGAATACTTCAGACACTTCACCTGCTCTCCACTCTCTCTCCATCCCCATCTGAACTCTTCTGCAGCTCTTACAATCATATTTCCCTAGTTTGAGGGAGTGTTAAGACTCACGTGAAGTCCTGTAGAATAACTCGTGCAGGTTTAAATGGCACTTCGACATTCTTGTGTTGCATCACCTGCCAATTGAAGATGTTCTCAACATCTTCCTTCTTCACTAGAAACTCATCACAGTTACGGATTGCTGACTCCAGAAGGACTTTAATAGAAAATGGCAACCGTTCTGGGAAAAGAAAGAGACTGGAAGTAGTTTGGTTTTCATGTCTTAGATGTCATATCCAAATGCCTGCATGTGGCTATATCCTTTCACCTGTTAGGTGAAGTCCCAGCTACAGTGAAGCAAATGAGGCTTTTGCCATTAAGTCTGGGGGGTGGGACAGGATGGGAGGCATGATTTCACTCATTAAAAGAGGATATGCATCATGGTCATTAATAGCTGATCCCTAATAATAGTTAGAGCTCCTGAAGAGAGAAATATGCTGTAAAACACATTTGATCCCTTTGAATTCAAGCCAAAGGATGCCTTATCTTAATCTACAGAATGGTCACTACCTGAGTGCTAGCCCCAAACAGTGTAACCCCCCAAAAACATACAACAAACAAACAAGTCAAACCAACAAACAACCCCCCCCGCATTTTGACTCAATTAATTTCCAGTGTTCCAAGCCTTACAACACTTCCCCACAATAATGTATATTATGATGCATACTCTCAATCACCACCTGGATAATAGGTACTACCATAATAATGGTTTATGTGGCCCTATCATATTTCAGGGATCCAGTCTCACATTTCAAGGCAGAGCCAATGCTAACTTGTATGGCTAAAAAAAAAATCTATCATCAGGAAATTACTCAATAATTGTCTGTTATGGAGTTACTTGCCTCTTTATTTGAAGACGTGAACAGCTGTCACTGCTGCCATTACTAAAATTAATTATGGCAATTCTTGTATTTCTAAAGAACCCTGCCGGTCTTTAAGGGACAAAACGATAGCATTAGTTTATTTGTCATCATCAGTCTAAATGAACCACAAAATATTGTGCTTGAGAGGACATTGTTTTCCACCATTTAAAGAAAAATAGCAACAATCTACCTCTTGATCAACTTTTAGTTTAAGCAACAGTATCTCTTCTAAATGCTGGGGGTATATATGAATACATGTAGTTTTAGCATTGGCTTTAAACATCAACAGTAACAGTTAAGTATCTGAGTGTGCCATGAAAGGGAAATTTGCATGAATTCAGGAGGAGTAAGAGTTTTCAATGGAGTAAGCAGGAGAGATGTAAAAAAAATTCCGGTTAATTGGCAGATTCATACGTTAGACACACAGCAGTTACCCACAGCCTTTTTCCAGCATTGGGAAGGAAGGATAAACCAAGCTTCATTTCTACTGTACCCTTTCAAACTTAATGGCACCATAAGGAAAAATTGCCCTTCTACTTTTTCAGCTACTGTGGTCCTTCATGCCCACACCGTGAAGCACATGCCGTATACTGGGAAACACTGAACTATTACATGAAACAGGGAATTATCCAGTTCAGAGTTACAAGTAATAATATTACTGTGCTAAGAGACTAATAAAACAAAGTTTGGATTCTAGTTTGCAAACATTAGAACCCAGTTTTCAAGAAGCAACCTCCCTGTACCATTCTAGGACTGCAAGGCCCTCCTACAGTTATTTTCAGTGCCACATGCAGCAAGTAGCAGGGATAAGATATGAAGATGTCAATTCCTTTATGGTGTCAACGTACCATATCTTTCATCTTTCAATTTGCTCACATTGAAGAATTTCTTTTCAGGCTGGTTGGAGTCTAATGGCTCCACGATCTGCATGAAAGGGTTGCTCATGATGAAAGGTCCTTCGTGTCACTGAAAGCACAAAAGAGAGAAAGTCCCATCAGCTGATACAACCTAAATGAAGAGTGGCCTCAGCAGTTAAGCCTGTATCAGATTGTATATTACTGAGCAAACAAACGATTCACTCATTATGCCCCTGAAGTCATTTTAAGATCACAGAAAGACTATAAAAGTGCAGTAATTTCTCTGTAGTATATTTTCAGCTGGATTTCATGACTCTCTAATTTAGGAACCATAGTAACACTGTGGTGCCAAGTCTTCCACAGTGATTTCCAAGATAAACTGACAAGTGTTCCCACCCTGCATTCAAACAAACAGAAAGCATATAGCACCAGACAGAATCCGATACAGACAATAAACCCTGATCTTAAATTTTCAAAAGGACTAAGCACCCACAGCTTTTGTGGATTTATATGCCACCTGTTGGGGTGGCATATAAACACCGGAAAAATAAACAGATAAATAACCTCATTGTACACATTTTTTTCCAGTTTAAACATCTCGTATAACTGTGACTTAATTTTAGCTATTGTAGTGGCCCAGCAGATGGAACATTGATTTGGAGATGGTGGTTCTAGCCACCACTCTTCAACTGGCATACTTTGTGTCCCTGGGCAAGTCATGTCACTTTTCTTGGTTTCCCCATCTGTAAAATGGGGATAGCAATACTGATGCCCCTTTAAAAGTCTTTCAAATCTATGGGTGAAAAAACCCTTTTCGAGCTAAATATTTGTTCTAATCATCATACTAATACAGGCCAAGATGTGCATTCATTTTGCTTATCAAGATTCTATCTTCCCAAGTATACCTGGGACAATTTGGATGAATAACAGGTTCATGTCCTGTCCCATTTTGTTTACAGAAACCTTTAACTAGAGGTCCCTGTGTGTGGGAGGAGCACTGAAGTTTTAAATATGAGTAGCAAAGAAAGAAGCTAGGGTAATAAGAAAGTTTGTATGGTTCTGTCACATGTACTGCTCAGCACATAATGTAAATAATTGCCCAGGATATGCCAAAAAGCAGGCAGTGCCAAACAAACCAAAACCCAAACCCATCATTCTATTCCATTTACTGAGCATATTAATTGTGAATTACAATATGTCTTCCATCTTCCGGCTTGGGCATTATGACCAAAATAAAGATTTGGTGGCTCAAACTCTGTCTTAAGTTATTATGGGCCACTGTTCAAGTTGTAGGTGCCTGCACTTTGGTGTTGACAGTCTCATGTCATACCCACTGTGGACTTTACATGGGTGCAATGACTGAAGCCCAGTAAACAATTCTGCTGGGGACATCCAGGAAAGAGGAAAATCCAGCTGCTCCTAGCCAGACCTAAGAGCAGTCAAACTATTTTTACTTCCAATGTCAATAGACTCTAAAGGGCACTAAACACAGAGGGAACAGGTAGGATGCTTAAGCAAGCATACATTTAACAGTGACCTTTCAGAGCAGAAACACAAAATTTGGGATTGAGACTTTAGAGTCATAGGAAAAGCTTAGATCTATGCCATCTGATTAAAAATAAAAACTATTTTACAGTGTTGTTTTACTGGGTTCTTTGTCCTTCTCCTTTGCTTTCCCCCACCCTCCCAAATCCATTGGGTTCAGTGCCTATGTGACCAGACAGACTTTATCGGATTCTGGATCTCTGAAAAATTGTGCACATAAGAAATCAGAAATCAAGTCTGCATAAGTTTTACCTAGCTGACAATAAATAAAAATGAGTGGAAGAGGAAGTGAAGTGGCACTACAATCCTTGTACTGGTACCAAGGAAGAGAGAATCCAAACAGAATTTAAATTGATGGGGGTGGGAAGGGAGCGCATTGGAATACAAGGCCTCAAAGGGTATATGCAGGATGTAAATCACCAGATGCCTCCCCTACATACTAGCTAATCTATTCTTGTGAAATTATAGATAAGACTAAAATGGCCTTACTATGTTTAAGAGGTCAAGGTAAACATTAAGCTCTTTCCCAGCATTTACTTTGATATCCTAAATACACGGAGAAGACTCCCACCTTTTTCCTGTAGCAAAGATTAGAGCAGAGAGGGTCTTCGAAGGATGGGGCTAGGGTAACAGCAGACAGATTCCAAAAGTTTCCTCACCTGCCTCAGAGTGGCAAATCCACTGGCCATGCAACACCACAAAGTTTACCTTTATGTCACAGAGCAACTCTCACATACACAGGCGAATATGCTTCTAGCCTCAACTACCCCTGTGCAAAATGGAGTTTTTTACCTAAGAGGACTTTTACAATCTTTGATTTCTCCTCAGCCTGAAGAAGTGTGCACGCCCAAAAGTTTGCAAAAAAGACGTTTGCTATTTTTTAGTTGGTCTAATAAAAGATATTACCTCTGAGCCAACAGTTTTGTGTTTTCCCTTTACTCAACTGCATTTCATTTATACCCTGGTGGTCTCTTCTTTATCTACTCTTTTCTGAATCTAGCCCTCTGTTTGCTGATTAACTGAAATCTTTCCTTAATAGCTTCTTTTACTATGAGAAGCTACTGTTTTTGGCACAGAACATCAGTGAACAGCAACACACAAGACAAAGCTATTTTAAAGCCCATACACATTGAGATGTGCATTTATTTTGATTAATCTACAGCTTTCCAGATACAAGGATGTTTTTACATCCAAGTCATAACAGTTATAACTGTTGTTTCATTTGTGCTATCCATTTCCACATGGGGTGGGGCAGCGAAAAAAGGTTTATTTAGCAACAAAAATCATCATCTTCACACTACACATGAAGTTATTGGCATGCATTTAGAGAATACTCCTAAGGAACTGACATAGCAACTCTTCATTTTATTAATATTAAACCATGGCAGAGGAGGAAGGGGCAGGGGATGGGAGGATAGGGGTAAAGAAGAAAAGTCAATGTTCTCTGCTGCTACCACATTACAGGATTCTTCAGAATCAGATCTCATACATTTAGTTGCATCCCCTAAGACACACCGCTTTGTGGTAACTCAAGGAATTTAAAACAAATCAATAAGTGCACTAAATCAATGTGCATACATTAAAAGGGCATTTGACCACCATGCAGATTCTCTATAGAGACATATTAAGGTACAACAATCCAAGATCACTTTACTCCTGAATAAGAGATTTCACCTGGGGGTCTAAGACACTAACTTAAGCACACTGACTTCACACCTTTAGTTAAATTGCCTTAAAACTTCCAAGCATTATTCCATAGATGTAGCCTTAACAATACTTCACAATACCCTACTGATTGAGGAGATGCATGCTTTTCCACATAATTATTTAAATACCATTAAAGTGATGTGTTTGATAAGTGACCATCATTACCACTTGGCTTCTCCCCTCATGCGCGACATAAAGCAGCAATATTTTTAGAAGCAATTCCACGTAAACCAAATTAAACCAACCAAGAGAAGCACAATTAAATTTTCTCTGGTGGGGTGTTTTAGAAGTTGAAAATTTGTCGAAGATACTTCCAGGAAATCCAACAAACTACAGGGACCAAGAAAATATGTTTCACTTGCTGCCAAGGACAGGGAAAAAAAACAAGGCCCTATGCTTGCCTTGGTCGTCAGTTCAATGCACTCTATGCTACATGCTGCTGGGTGAAGGCAAAACAGCCTAAGACTAAAAATGAACAGTGTAGACCAGATGAAAACAACAAAACCACACAATCCAGCAATTAATACATATATGAACTTGAATGGTGGGTGGGTGTGTCAGACCAATATTGGGCAATATCCCTTGATAAAACTAAAAGCAAGTATGACTCAAGGGCACAACCTCACTCATACTATATCTAACACACAGAGTTCAGATTCCACGCACAAAAAAAATCTTTACAATCTGCAGAAACTCTTGAACCAGTCTTTCCCATGCTCTCATATTCTGTTTAGAGACGGGATTGAGTAGAGAGATTCAAGACTGGATCTAACCTTTCCCAAAGACTGTGCCAGCTCTGAATCTGCTACATGAAATCCAGAAGATGTAACAGTGTGAAGTTTGCAGTTAACATTTAAATGTGCTTTGAAAACCCACCTCGTGAAAATATCTGCCCTTAGTGGGCTGCCCACTGATCTACCCAAATTCTGCATCAGGCAACAGAATGCAAAAATATCCTCTCCAACCAAAGCTGTAGATACCCAAAAATGAAATATTACTGAAAATATTTACTCTTCTTACTCAAAACTCAGAAATTCATAAAAAATAAACAAAAATAGGGCTAAAAAGGACACCTGGAAATCATCTACTCCAGCCACCTGCTCATGGCAGGGTTATCCCTGACTAGATGAACATGTAACTTGAACTTCCATAATTTCTTAAATGTTTTTAAAGGGTTCGTGTATAGTGTGGAATTACGGGCCCACAAAATATTTGCAAATTCCCTTTTCTCCCCACCAAACAACAAGAGGTGGGCATTATAGACAAATATTTTATGTTTAAATATATCCATTTTAGTTATCTACAGGCAAAATCAGGACAGTTGTAGCCCTTCGCATATACAGGAAAAGGAACCAAAGAGAAGGCTATTTGGATCAAGCTAAGTCTTATTTTACAGTGCTTTTAGTTACAATTTTATGCCCACCAACTAGAACAGAGTATGTAAGTGAAGATACTGTTCTAGTGAAGAAACCGATTCTGTTAAGACAAAGAAAAGCTCCTTCTACTTATCATTTGCTCTTTTTAGGTCAGATAAACTCAATATACCATAAATGTACAGTGTGTTGTGACACTGCTGTAAATAGTACCATTCAGTCTAGTGCCTTGAGAAACAGACAAGGTTCTTTGGGTAAATGTGCTATCTTTTATTAGACTAACTAAAATAGTTGGGGAAAAAAGGCTTCTTTGCAAGCTTTCAGGTACAAACACCCTTTGTCAGGCAGAGGAAGACAACTGCAGTTGAATGTGTGAAGAGGTTTTATATCACCATGAGACTGACACTTTATAGGTATTAAAATAATGAATTTAAATGGAACAACCAGGATGGTATCCCAGGCTCAGAACACATGCATCACTTTATTTCTCCT